GTATGTGAGGGGGGGGGGGGTGTGTGTGTGTGTGTGTGCGATGTGCGTGAGGCATGTCAGGGGAGAAGGGGATGGCAGGAGTAGAACTGGCTGGGGAGTGTGCCATGATTATACGTGCTTCTTATTTTAAAACTGTTGGTAAAGTTCGTATTTGGTTTAATCAAGGGGTGTACTGGTGTAGCTTGTTTATACCTTTTCAAAATTCATTTGGACGTTTTGGTCGTGTGGGTAGTTGGAGGGTGTCACTGGTAGGTTTTACTTCTTTACTTTCCCTCTGTTGTTTCTGTCTGTGTGGGTGGTTGGAGGGTGTCACTGGTTGGTTTTACTTCTTTACTTTCCCTCTGTTGTTTCTGTCTGTCTGTCTTGTTATTCCCCAGCACTAAATGACCATTATTGTGTCGATGTGCTTCTCTTCCCTCAAACAAACAAACAAACAAGCAAGTTTCGGTCGTCCTTGTGTGTTCCTGGAGAAATGTAGCCTTCATCATTTCTACAACAACGACAACGACAACAACAACAACGACGACGACATTTCCACCAACAACAACAACAGTAATCACCCCAACAACAAGTACACCACCACCAACAAGAACAACCCTCCCTCCGTCTTTCTTCGCTCATTCCTCCGCCTTCCCTCATTCCTCCCTCCTTTCTCTCCACCATCCAGGGTTTCCCCTCTCGACCAGTAAATGAACACATTTGCACCAACACTCATTTGCCCAAACTCAGACAAACACTCTCCTCCCGTCTTTCTTCTCTCATTCCTCTGTCTTCCGTTCATTCCTCCCTCCTTTCTCTCCATCATCCAGGGTTTTTCCCTGTCGACCAGTAAATGAACACAATTGCACCGACGCTCATTTGCCCAAACTCCGACAAACACTCTCCCTCAAGCTATTGTTGGCGCTCCTAATATGATAGAATATAAATCTTAGCACTTTCTTTCTCAAAAGACGTTGATAAAAAGCTTTCTAAATCGTACAATTTCCATTCTGGTTTGTATCCCTGTCGTGATTAGAGCATGAATAGACTTCCCAAGATGCTTATCGATCACTTCGGGGGCCTAAAAAAAAACCCAGCCTAAAGAACTATGTCGAAGTCCGGAACTGTACGCGAAAAGCGATGCCGAATCGGTTGAACTTGGGGGCCAATGAATACTTTCTTCTCCCTAACATTTGCTTTGCTATTGCCTGCAGGCACGGGCCTTTTACCCAGGCTATTCTTTTTTCCTTCTTCATTTTTTTTTTAAAATCATTTTTTTTTTGGTTTTTTTTTTGGCTCCACTTCCAAAGTACAAAAGAATAAATTTGGTTTGAACTGCTTTGGGAACCTGGCAACCGCAGTGTCTTTTATTCTCTATGGGTCTGCAGTTGTGCCGGCCCCCGCCACTCCAGGAGGCTTGCCGGTTAGGCTCGGCGTTCTGAAAGGGCCGGAAGCGACGACACGGAAAAACTGTTTACAAATCATAAAGGGCTGATCGAGGCTGCTGGGGACTGGTGGGGGGTGTGTGTGTCGTGGGGGTGGGGGTGGTTCTGA